CATGGACCAGAGCACGCCAGGCACTTCTGTCTTCCACTGCCTCCTGCAGTTTGGTCAAACTCATGCTGGTAGCTTCGAGAACACTATCCAACCATCTCGTCCTCTGTCGTCCCCTTCTCCTTGTGCCCTCCATCTTTCCCAACAGGGAAGTCGTCTCTTCTCATGAGGTGGCCAAAGTATTGGAGCCTCAGCTTCAGGCTCTGTCCTTCCAGTGAGCACTCAGGGCTGATTTCCTTCAGAATGGATAGGTTTGATCTTCTTGCAGTCCATGGGACTCTCAAGAGTCTCCTCCAGCACCATAATTCAAAAGCATCCTCTAGTAGCTCCTCTAGTAGCTCCTCTAGTAGTTGTTTATTGATTTATTGTTTCCAACATGAGTCCTATTGCAACCAAGTGGCAATTCATAGAACCACAAAGCTGCAGAGTTGGAAGGCAACCCTGGGGGCTGTCTAGTCTGACCCCCTGCAATGCAGGAATCTCAACTACTGCATCCATTACAGATGGCCATCCAACCACTGCTTAAAAACCTCCAGGGAAGGAGAATCAGTTATCAGGGAAATGTGGTGAAATGTGGTGAAGCTGTTCCCCGCCACCCCCCATATAGCTTCTGTCTCAAGGTAGGTAAAAGTTTCACTGGGACTGGTTGGATGGGCAGGAAACCATGGCTGGAGGAGGAGCTGTTAAAGAAGCAGGCATAATTTAATTGAAAACTATGCCTGCTGCCTTGGTAAAAATGTTCCCCCTTTACGACAACTAATTTCTTACTCTTGCTGAAAAACAGCCACCTACATCTGATACCGCACAAAGCCCGTTTGCATTTGTAATTTGAAGCACGCAACTCCTATTAATATTTCCCACTTTGCTGTGAGATTGCCAGGGTGGAAGGCAAAGTTCTGAAACAGTCCAGCAATCGCTTGCTAATTCTGCGCAACCAATCTGCCTGCCCACTTTCTATCTCCAGTCTGCTCCTGCACTTAAAATACTGTATACTCTGCATTTAAGGACCCAATATCGCTCTACAGAAATGCAGCTGCAGAGGCTGGAATCAGCAGGGAAGGAGGAAGCTTTCTTTAATTCTTCCGGTCATTTCTCCCCTCTGTTTAAAAGTCTCCCCCAAGCTGCTCCCCATAACACACATTTTGGCAGAAAAACCACCAGAGACGAGAAAGTGAAGAAAGCTTCCTCACAATCTTTCACTGCAGATTCCAGATTCTGTAACCACATTTTGCTTTGTGGAGCTAAGATGAGATCGTCTCTTCCTGTCGTCCCACATCTTAATTTCATATTGTCTTTCAAATCACCTCCCCTCTTCAAATCATGATTCGGTAAGCACTGTCTTCCATATGACAGTGTCTTCCTCATCTGTTGCAATACTCCACAAATGTCATGTGTAAATCCTGCTGATCTCATCGGCTTCTGGGCCTGCACCCAGGCAGGTGAGCTAATCAGCAGCTCTATTCTGTCAATCATCTTTCTCCTCTTAGAAATATAGAAAGCCACACTGAATCAGGATACCAAACTCAGTATTGGCCACACTGATTGGCAGTGGCTTTCCAGGGTTTCAGGCCCTGGAGACACTGGGGACTGAACCTGGGATCTTTTGCATTCAATTCTACCACTGAGAAATATGGCATTTCTCAGGATGCATGCAGGGACATAAAATCATAGACTTAGAAGGGACCATGTGGGTCCAGCCCCCTGCAATGCAGTAATCTTTTGCCCAACATGGGTCTCATAACCTCCAACATTTCTCCAAGAGAGTGGGGCCCTAAGCTATAGCTTATTTAGCTTATACATAAATCCGGCACTGCCTAAGGCTTCTGTTAAGCCAGTGGAATCCACTCTGCACCTCTTGGAGCGCAAGCTGACAGCGTGGTGCCACCCTCATTCTCCTCTCCGCCCCAGGCTAAGCTGAGTGGCAGAAATACAAGCCAAGGGCAGCAGAAGCAAAGAGCAGAATCAGAAACCTATGTCTGGTTAGAATTCCACCAAACATGTTGTCAAGTCTGCTTAATGAGATAGATGGAGCCCGGGTGCTTTGTTCTCACTCCTGGGTAGATTGTAAGGTTCACTCTTCCACAGGCTTGAGAACTATTGAGTGCCAACAGCTACCAGTGGGGAATTGACGTTGAAACAGAACTTGGTGCTTTTCATGTCAGGAAGAGAATTTCTTGCTCCCCACCCCCCACCCCCAACGAGGAGCCTGTTGTAGAATAAGAATGAGATTTGTCATACAGTTAGCCCATGGAACTGGTTTTCAATAGCTCAGTGCCTTGAGATGCTTTGTGCAGGTAAATAATAATAATAATAATAATAATAATAATAATAATAATAATAGATAATGATTCTCTCTTTGAGAGCAAAGGTCTTCATCACCCAGCCAGACATTCCCAAGCAGCACTTGGGGACCTCTGAAACCAGAGAGGAAAGTTTTTGATGACATTTTGTCTCTCTGTCTTTAGGCCAGGCTTGGGCAGCTTGTGACCTAATGTGCCAAATGCAGCGGACCAATAATATATAGTATTATGGGCTCCTGTTTGTGCTTAAACACACAGAGAGAGAGATAAGAGCCAATTCAAATGCGAGGACCCAGCACCTGCTACAGCTTTTTTTGAACCACACCACTTCAAACTTCAGGTAGTATTTAAATATTTGAACACTCTATTTGAAGGATTGTCTGGTCCACATCCAGATTAAAGATAATGAACTATTTGAAGGGAGGGCAGGAAGTGGTTCATCAAGGATTAGTACCTGAAGAAGAGACTGAGGACTCTTCCCCATTATCATGAAATGTACTGTGTTTTTATTTAAAGTCTAGTCATTACGCATCTATACATATAAATTACCATATGTATATTTTATTCAAATGCATCCTCTTTCGACATCTTTAATTTCCTTCTTTAATAAACTCAAATAATAAACCCTAAATGTTCATTTGTATAATTTTCTTAAATTTATGCCACAATTTCCCCCCACCGTGAAAGATAACTGGGCAGATCTAAGCATTATGGATGACATGGGGGTGCTTTCTAAAACAGCAGTCTGTCATATCACTCGTAACAGGTTGTTGGAGAAAAGCAATTTTGTACGCTACTTTTTGTTTCTGTGTTTCTGTGTTCTGCATTATGCTCTCTCCTGTTTAGTTTTAAGCTGTTGAATTAAGTTTGTTTGTTTTTGTTGTTGTTGTGTTTGTTTCTGCTTTATTGTTTTTACAAACTCGCATGTATTGATTTTTAACATATTTTTATTGGTCATATTATTTCTAATTGTTTGCAATATATATATATATATATATATATATAGTCTTATCATACTTGTTTACTTGATAGGTTGTGAGCCACTTTGGGCACAATTTTGTGGGGGGAAATGGCTTACAAATAGGCAGAGGATGGTAGTGATGATGTTCAAAAGCAACATCTCCAACTGCCACTGAAGGAACTGGAGAAGATGGCAATGAAGGGGGATCCAGCTGGGCGTGGACAGTGAATGGCCCTTCCAAGTCCCTGGGGAGTTTGACCAGTACCTGTCCTGATCAGCTGCTGGCATTGGACCTGTCCCGTAATGGCAGTTCAGACACAAATTTGACTTGACATTACTGCGTGCTGAGTTTTCAGGTGCTGAGTTCATTTCCTCTGTTGCTGAACTTGTGGATTTGGCTTCAGCCTCAGGCAGCAGAACACCTCTCCTTTATCATTTATTTTCTGCCATAGCATGACCTTGAAATTCAGTTCACCCATAAACTATTGCCGTTGGACTGACGCCCATAGCAAGACACATACCCCATTAGAAACTTTTCAGGATGAAACCGCACAAGCTTTCTGCCTGTGTCATTATTTGTGTAACTTTCTTTGCATTTTTCTGCCCACACACACTTCACCAGATTAGAAAACCTGAGGCATATATATGCAGGGTTTCTTTTCAGCGAAACGTCTCATGGTTATTTACTAAAGAGTGCACTGTTCTTTTCTGGCAAGAGTTGCCCGATCGCAAGATGGAGTATGTGCCTATGATCGTACATTTCCCAATTCCAAAGCCCCTTGCCGTGTCCACACAGGCAGGAGAATGCAATTCTGAAGCTAAGCGGGACATCCAGAACAGTCATTTGCACATTATTCCGGCTCACAGCAATTCCATAAGAGAATATATTTCACAGCTTTGTGATTAGATCAAAAAGCAGCGTCCAGAGGAAGAAAGCATTCTCGGTTTTCCTTATATAGAAATGTCCAACTGCAAAATGATTTCTGAAGACATTTCTTTCCTAAGAGAACTAGGGCGGGAGAAAGAAATGGCTAAAATAGTTTTCTTTGCTAAAATGGCTGAGAATTCATAGTATTTGCTTAGGCTGCAGTCCTAGACAACCATGTTGCAGAGGAGCAGCCAGACATATTTTGGAACTGCAGCTGAGCAGAGCAGCCAGCCCATCTGACTCCAGGCTAACCCGTTGGATTTGCATTTGGGTCTTTTCTGGATTGATAATCTCCAGACGTATAATTTAGCTACTTAGATCTGTTTCCAAAGTGTTCTTGATCTTATATTTGGGTTTGGTTTTACGATGCTTAAAATTGTTTTGTTCTCTGCATCTTTTAATCAATCAATCAATTATCATCATCATTATTAAGTTTCTTTAGTTGAGCAGGCCCCAGGGTAGGTTACAATAATTTAAAATTAGCTAGTGCTGCAGCCTTAGCATGCAATCCTATGCACACCAAGTCTGCAATCCTAATCCCATTTATGTGGGAGTAAACCCCATAGGATTCCATATATTTTCAGTAGACGTGGTCAGATTGCATTGATAAATTCCATTGAACTTGGTGGTACTGGGGCTGTGCCTGCCGGGGATGAGTGAGAAATTCAGATAACATTTAAAGATGAACCTACCTAATTTGCACATTCCAAAACAATATGAGAACCAAAGCATAGCCATCTTTCAAAATTCTCACTTCCCTGAATGCGGACCTTCAGCTAAGTGATCTGTACAAAAATGCATACACTAGGGTAAAGCTCTGGGATAGCTTAGTTGGTTGAGCATGAGACTCTTGATCTTGGGGTCGTGGGTTCGTGCCCCACATTGAGCAAAAGGATTTCTGCATTGCAGGGGGTTGGACTAGATGACCCTCATGGTCCCTTCCAACTCCACAAGTCTATGATTCTGTTATTCTAAGTGTGCATAAAAATGCATATATATATCACGAAAATAGTATACAGAAATTGCTTGTGCTAGGGACAATTGTTTTGAAAAAATGGGTATATTAGGCAAAATTATATTAAAATGTGTATATTAATAGAAAACAGAACTAAAATGCTGATGAATTTTCACGAGGACTTTAAAAAACAACAACACATTCATAAACTGAATTTAGAAAAATTGGGAAACTGAGAGAAACCAAAGTCGACAAGATTCACCCAATCCCTAGTTCCTGCATTTAGCCCACTGAAATTGACAGCCTGCAGGCTGATCTCAATGGTATTGTGACTATTTGTTGTGGTGTAAGCTTTCATAGGCAAGAGCCTACTTTGTCAGATTCATGGGTCTGCAACTGATAGATTAAATATTCCATTTGAAGGTAAAATATTCAAATAGTGGTCATGTATCAATTTGCATATATTATTTACGTGGGGACGTTGACAACAACTGCATCTCAGTTCCCTAAATGTTTCAGGAAAAGTCTGAGTGTGCTTTGAAAATTGCTACAAAATAGTTGGATTTTGGGACACTCCCACCACATGTGGAGGTATGTGCCTGTGGAGGTGCACCCTCTCCAGCATTTTGGTGAGGTTCCTGGGTGTATTAGCGCTAGTTTCCTTGGTGTTAGGTACCACCTGTAGGTGAGTTTCAGTGTGAGTTCTTTTCTTTTCGTTGATATGGATTTAAAGGGGGGTTTAGACCACATTCTTGTCCATTGAGTGGGGTTAATCTCATAGCCTATGTCATTCTCCCATTGTTTTTTGATTGCGTCTAGGGATTTGCGGGATTATGGAGTAGTATTTTGTATATTGCGGATACCGTCCCTTTACCGTTTCCCTTTGTTGTTAGGAGGAGGTTTTCGAAGGTTGTCAGGGGCCTAGTTGCTGCTGATTTTACTGTTGGGTTGTTTAAGAGGGCATGTAGTTGGTGTTGTGTTAACCAGGGCATTTGGGTGTCTTCTAGTATCCAACTATTCTGGACAACAGCCATACAAGAAATATGTAAAATAACTAAGCAAGTAATAGACATCACCCCAGAATTGGCCCTACTAAACATCTTCCAAGACAACAATGCCCATTTACACCACAAAGAACTCATAACCCACCTGCTCTCAGCAGCCAGAAACACCATAACCAGACACTGGAGAGACCTGTCAGGAGAAAGCATGGACCAATGGTACCAAATAGTATGGGAAACAGCACTACTAGAAAAATTAACTAATAAACTGAAACTGACACGGGGACAAACAGAAGAAGACGCCTTCACCCCGGTATGGCTCCCCTTTATCGCATACACAGCCCAACAGGACAATGACAATAATCCACCAACAGCATACAAATCAATATGGCTAACCTGATCCAAAACACCCACCCACCTCACTCACACACGAAAACAAAGATCACCACAGCCAATCACAAGCAAACAATCACACCCTAGGCCAACCCCAACCTCTCTCACCACCAAAGGAACACAAGTGAACAACACAAGCAACGCTGACACCAAACTCTACATACATTAAACATAATAGAAACACCGCCACCCGACCCCACCCCTATCCATCTTCCCTCTCTCCACCCCCTTTCTTTTTCTTTTTCTTTTTTTCCTTCTCCCCCTAATGCCTCAACAAATGAAATGGATTTGTAAAAATGTTACATGGAAAGAAAAAAATACGAGGCACTACACTTCTGTAAAACAAGAAAATCCTTAATAAAATATTAAAAAAAAAAAAAAAATTGCTACAAAATCAAGATAAATGCCAGAAAGGTCGTTCAGTGAACTGCTTGGTCTCTGAAAGTTTTAAGTCATCAGGCCTTGTTTATGAATGCATTTCCATTCCCCGAAAGGCCCCCAAAGGAAATTCATTATTCTGCTGCACAATTAAAACAAACACCACATGGCGCTCAAATTAATTTGCTACAAAAGCTTAACAAATCAAGTGATTTGCAATGCAAATACCATTTCCCAGCCCTGCCAGCGCTTTCTAAATACTAGCCCTGTAGAAATAAGAGACAAGGTTTCCTCAATGGTTTGAAAATGTCAGTCATTGTAGCTGCCGACCGAATCATGTTGCTGTGAAAGAGTGAGGGGGGATCTGGTATCAAGATTGCTTTCTGCTTGGGTGAGTCAGAAGCACCCAAACCAGGAATCAGGAGAGGGACCCAAAGGTTTTTATTAGTGGCAACACAGTTTTTCTCTATGCACTTCATTGAGTAGGAAAACAGAGATACAGATTCATTCAGTAACAAGAAGTGGGTTGTTGCAATTTCCTTATGAATATACATATCACACTGTAGATCAGCACAGTGGTGACATAACAGAGGTGTATAACTTTTGGAGGATGTGAAGAAAGATGACAGAGATCTCTCTCATCTTACTAGAACCTAGAGCTATCCAAAGAAGATGAATGTTGGACGATTCAGGTCAGGCACATTGACTGGTGACTGGGAGTGGCCGCCGAGACCATATAACACTGGTCCTGAAAGACCTACATTGGCTCCCAGAACGTTTCCGAGCACAATTCAAAGTGTTGGTTCTGACCTTTAAAGCCCACAACGGCCTCGGCCTAGTATACCTGAAGGAGCATCTCCACCCCCCATCGTCTACCCCACCACCACTGAGGTCCAGCTCCGAGGGCCTTCTGGTGGTTCCCTCACTGCTAGAAGTGAAGCTACAGGGAACCAGGCAGTAGGCCTTCTCGGTAGCGGTGCTTGCCCTGCGGAACGCCCTCCCATCAGATGTAAATGAAATAAACAACTATCTGACTTTTAGACGATATCTGAAGGCAATTCTTTTTAGGGAAGTTTAAGTGGCTGCCACCACATCTTGTAGAAGTGTATCCCAGAATCAATGGTTGTCAGGGACTGGGCAGAAGAGGAATGGTGGAGACCGTCTCCCCAGCCTGAGAAGAATTACAACAAGGGTTTGAGCGAGATCACAGCTCAGAGGCGGATGAGGGGGAAAGCTGGGAAATAATGGGAGAGGAGGAAGAAGAAGTACCAGAGGGGTGATTGCTGATGGACACAGAGTTTTTAGAAAGCATTCCAGACCCCCCCCTCCCAGAACCCGGCAAACATTGAAAGTAGGAGAGCAAAGAGCTCAAAGGCAGAGGACACTTCTTAGCACCCATAGTAATGATGCATGAAGAGAGGGGGGGTGGAGACTCACTCAGAGCAACGTCATTATTCCAAGAGGCTGCATTTCTAAGCCTCTCTCTGTGAATATTGAATAAAAAGCAGCTGGTAAGAATTTTTCATTGTTTTATCTGTTCTTGGCAACCCGCTGTGGGGGTTGGATCCTCTGCCGCCTGACAACTGTATTCTTCTGTCTGGCCTGAATTTCTCATCCTTCAGGTGCACGAGATAGTCCCAGGTTCTAATACTGCGAGAGAAGGAGAGAAAAAGCACATCCCTATCCACTTTCTCAATACATTGTATAATTTTATATGCCACTGTCATGTCCCCCACCTCTTGCGTGTCTTTCATCTAAACCCCAAAGCATAGCCCTGAACTCCTGGATCTGAACACATGTGACCAAATTGGACTACACATTTACGGAGCCAAAATTTCTGCCCTCAAATACAGACAGCAAAAATAACCCGGAATAATTTGTACTTGCCTGTAAATTAGCACTGCATCCTAATTCCCAGTTTTTGCTAGAAGCGGTGACATACTGTAAAAACCAGGTGAAAATGTATGCTTCTTCTAATTCACAAAGAAATATATCTGGAAGAAAAACCCATCCTGAAAACTTTGAAAGCGGTGAGTACCATGCCTAAATAAAGGAATAAGAAAACCTGGCCCCGTCTCCTAAAATGATTCATGGAAAAGACTGAACCAAGATAAGCTATGCATCAAACAAATGACAAACGAAATGTACAATCATTTTAAATGTCAACGAGAGAAGAATGGAAATAAATGGACATACATCGCTGACATAAAATCTTAGAATAGGGCTATTTTATTTTACTGAGGCTTAGTTCAATGAAATATGGTTAGATGATAGAGAAATGGATGAATGTCTGAGCCATTGGGCACAATTTAGCCAGTTAATTGCCTCATCCTATCCACAATTATTTAAAAGTTCCACTTAAATTGAATTTATTCCAAAGTAAGATTGTATAGGACTGTAGCCTTAGTACGCAACTAGATGCATGCCATTTAACAAAATGTGTGTGGTCTATGAAACATAACGATATAATTACATGTACATATTCTTACAGCACAATGCTACAGTGGTGCCTCGCAAGACGAAATTAATCCGTTCCGCGAGAGTCTTCGTCTAGCGGTTTTTTCGTCTTGCGAAGCAACCCTATTAGCGGCTTAACGGATTAGCGCTATTAGCGGTTTAGCGGCTATTAAAGGCTTAAAGGCTTAGCGGATTAGCTGCTAAAAGGCTATTAAAGGCTATTAAAGGCTTAGCAGATTAGATAAAGGGGGGGGAGCAGAAAAAAATCTCAAGACTTGCAAGACATTTTCGTCTTGCGAAGCAAGCCCATAGGGAAATTTGTCCTGCGAAGCAACTCAAAAACGGAAAACCCTTTCGTCTAGCGGGTTTTCCGTCTTGCGAGGCATTCGTCTTGCGGGGCACCACTGTATGTGTGTTTACTCGGAAGTAAGTCCAATTTTGTTCAATGGAGCTTATGCCTTTAAAAGTGTGTTTAGGATTGCATCCCTGGGTCACCACCAATCCTTACTCCTCTCTGTACCCTGGCACCCCATGGAAGTCTAGTAAGATGAATTTCCCTGGGCATCTAAATGCCCCACCTTTGATAATGAGATTGAAACTGGTTTTAATAGCTCAATAGATTGTTAACTGACACCTCCATGAGCAGTAGGACTCTACCATAGCTTGGCTAAAAGGCCCAAGGCAAGAGGTTACTCAGAATCCCAT